CGATTGGTGTAATGGATAATGGCTCAGAATTGTTAACTGGAGAGCTAAGTTCAAATTCCAGTTGGTTTCGTTACATTCACTTATGCGCAAATATACCCTTAGGAAATGTATGAATCAACCTCTTCTCCCCCCAGATATGGGTTAATTAGTAAGAATTGTATCACTAAATTATTATGATCTCCAAAAACAAAACAAAAAATTAATACAATCTAAAAATATTTTCTAGCTTTAAATAAACTGTAAAGGGTTTATAAGCCGTAGAAAACGAATCATTAAATTAATTAAAAATGTATATATAAGAATTTTTTTTTAATAAAAAATATATGTTTTCGTATGCAGAACAACTAAATCCAGATAACTCTGTAAAAAGTCAGGGATCGATTCGACATTGTATCGATATCATGAACAGGATCCTTTCCTTCTAAAATGATAAAAATCATTTTTTTTTATTCTGACAAAGGTCGCGACTTGTGGAAGGTCAAATGAATGTTAATTCACAAAAATGATTTCCGTCAAAATGTTTTTACCATTTTTTTATTTTTATTTTATTTTATTTATTTATTTATTTATTTATTTTTTTTTTTTTTTACTAATGGACCAGTCTACTTAAGTGGTTCCGATGGAGTTTAAATTAATTGACAATTTGGGTGACAAATTTAGTTTTTGCTGCGAAAGACGTTTGTCAGGCCTCTCTAAACTTTATAAACTTTGAGCACTAGTCATAGTGGCATAGCGTCGGTTGCAAAGCAAGTGCGTGCCCTAAGTCGTTAGCACCAATTTCCGACAATCCATTATTGCCACCCACCTGTATATGCATTTTAAGACCGATTTAATTAAAAATTCATTTAATGCGCTATACTCAAATTCATTTAAAACTGCCTGGTTTTAATTTACGCATTTTTTAAAATATTGGAATGCACATCGAAATCTTTCTCAATTGACATTATTAATAAATTATTCAGTCTTGGCTTAGATCTTATAGTTAAATGTTATATTTTAGTGGATACACGCGGTTGAGTAGACGTCTTATTTGTTTATGCATTCAAGAATCTTAATAAATAGAAACACCCGTCGATCCGATTGTCTTTAAACCAGTGCTACTCAAAGTGTGGTACGCATATCGGTGCCGGTATGCGAGACTTCGTCTGTCGGTACGTGGAGAGTTTCCAAGAAACAACGTAACAGTAGTCATATTCCACGCCACAGGAGACTGCCGAGATATGTGACTCGTTTTTTTTTTTTTTTTTTTTTCATTTTCGTTTTATATTTATTATGGTTACACTTTTCAGTTACACACTCATCTTAAAAGTCATTGCTATACAACTAACAAATGCAATTTTTTGAACAATAACTGAACAGTGAATTAAAATACGTATGACCCCAGCATCATGACGATGTGAGGTGTGACTGTATGGGAACCACAGCTAGAAATACCAAACGGCCATTTTCATGGACATATATTTTTACAAAATCAATATAAAATTAAAAAAAAAAAATGATGCAACTTTTATTCATTATATTTTCCTGGTATAAATGAATAATAATACGAATGTTAAAATAATATTTTCTCGGATTGTTATTACATAATTATATGGCACAATTATGGTACCGGAACGCTGAGAAGACTTTGTTACGTCAATGATAACTGGCCTTAGAATGAATAAAACATCATGTCTTCATGTACAAATAGTCTGAAAATGAACCTGAAATAAAAGACACACACATATATATATATATATATATATATATATATATATATATATATATATATATATATATTATGAAATGGACAAAGTCCGACAATTATTTAAGAAATTTTTTTATGTTTATTTACCGGCCTGAATGTCCGAGAATAATAATATTGTTTATTATAAACAGAGCATTTACTTAAATATTTGTATCTATAAAAAGAACGTATAAGCATAAAAATGTCTTAAATAATTGTCGGACTTCGTACATTTCATAATGTATGACGTCATTTTCTTTACGCATTGAGCAGATATGAAGGAATGAGAGAAAATCATGGAGAATTATGCTTAAAAACAGTAAAATCGACCTTGTTAACCGAACGCTCCTCTGTGGCCTCTGTGGCCCAATCGGTTGAGGCCCGTCAGGCTATATGACATTTCCGTATAGGATACAGGTTCGATTCCTGTCGGAGGACGCATATTTTCTATGAAAATTTCTCGGACATTCAGGCCGGTAAATGTTGTTAATACTGTTTATTATAAACAGATCAGTTACTTAAATATTTGTATCTATAAAAAAGAATGTATAAACAAAAAATGTCTTAAAATAATTGTCGGACTTTGTTCATTTCATAATATATATATACACAACAATATTTCACACATACACACAGTAAAAACAACCTTCAGATATTGGAGGTCATCTACATAAAAACAAAGCAACCCACACTCAACAAAATTACATTTCAAACTAGTCACAACACATTACTTTGCATCTATCCATATTGTCATATTGTTAATATTTCGGCCTCTCACGTGGTATGACGTCATAGATCCGCATCATGAATTTACGACCTGCGTCTGCTATTCTGCGACCGTTATCGTCGCATAGCAATCTTCTATGTCAACATAATAGAATATCACCTTTGACGCGTATTTTCTATGACAATTTCTCGGACATTCAGGTCGGTAAATGTTGTTGATACTGTTTATTATAAACAAGAGCATTTACTTAAATATTTGTATCTATAAAAGAACGTATGAACATAAAAATAAACTTCATATATATATATATATATATATATATATATATATATATATATATATATATATAAAAGAAAATTAGTGTTTTAAGAAACTTCATTCACAGCAAAACCGTTGAAACAGTGATAATTAAAAAAGAGTTTTAACCTCGCAACTAAGATAACCATTTGCATTTAGTGCGACAGGAAAGGCAATATATGTTTTTTTTTTTTTCATTTATTTATTATAACTACGTTATTTTTCTTTTTAAATTTTGAATCCGTGGCTATCGCCTCGGTGATCTCGCCCACATTACACCACTGCCTTGTCTAATACATTTAATATTACATTACATTATTATGGAATTTTATAAGGGTTTTATATGCCATAAAACCGGTAACTTATTTATTTTTTTAGTATTTTTCCCATAAAAATTGATTAATGAGAAACGGCAAATGCTTTTTTTGTCGAGTCAGCCGAAGTGGAAGTCAAAGTTATTCTTACTCTTCCCAACTTTAGACGAAATTTAACGAAACCAAAATGGATAGCAGCTCGGATTAAGGTTTTGGAGAGTTGAGTTCGAATTCCAGTCGAGTCCATTACATTCACTTACGTGCTAATGCCCTTGAGAAAGGTATGCATCCTCTTCTTCTCCCCACAGTAAATAACACGACAGACCGGGTTCTATAGACTTGGATGGCAACTGGTCTACCGCAGACAGAAATAGCAACCTACTACGGGAAAAAAAATCTGCCTCGTCAGTCATGTATCGAAAGATACATGATCGTTTAAGCGTGTCCCACGCATGGCCCATAACTGACTGAAGTGACAGGAAAACTGAAATATCAATCATCGAGCAATTCTGGCTTTTCGAGTAAAATATAGTCATGAAAATATTGGTGGTTATTGATTTTCTCAGATTTTTTTAAATAAAAAAAACCTATTCATTATAAAATAAATAATTAATATGTGCTGAAATTTCATTTAAATTGAATAATTCCCTGATTTTCGGTAATTTAATTAAAAAAATCAATTATTCTTCGAGGTTTTGTGGCCCCCATATTAGGAAACTTTGGATATAGAGAGGGGGTTCCGTATCAAAGTTTCGTTGGTGGGCATGATACCTTAGCGCCGGCACTGAATAGAAGTGTGTTCATTCAACACGGACTTTATTACACGATTTGTTAGGAACGATAAGATTAACCCAAATAAATGTCCAAAGACCTCGTAGCCCTTGAGCTTGCGGAGAAGGCCAGTATGCCGAATCCTCTCGAACGCCTTTGTGATATCTAGACCCACAGACGGATTTTCACCATTCTTATCTAAAGCATGATAGCCATTAACATATTGGCGGTTGACCTGGAAAATCGGAAGCCATATTGTTTATTTGAAAGGAGGTCGTGAGAAGTAAGATGCTTAACCAATTCTGTGTTGATTAGAGCATCTAGTACATTGCCAAAATTAGGTAAGAGGCTAATAGAGGTGTCGGTTGTCAGGAGATTCCCAACAATTGTTAAAGGCAAGAAATACAGAGGAGGACTTCCAACAAGCTGGAAAGCAAGAAGCCGCGATGCATTTATTGTAAAGTTTGGAGAGAACAGAAGACTGTTCAGATTTTAGAAAAATTACAAGGGTACCATCGAATCCGCAAGAATTGTGGGGATCTAGATTAGAAATGACAGCAGAAATCATGGAGAGAGTTATGTGCATATCACTCAGTACGCCGAAGATTGTGACTGCAAATTTTGTCAGTACTCCAGTAGCTTCCTTAATATCTTCAACAATACCATCGTCCGGATAAGTTCAATTTTTCTCCTGACTTTCAGTTCTTTTAGTCTTTTGCCCATGAACTTCTAGAACGTTCCTAGTACTACAATAAAGATTGGCACAACAATGAACTTCTCTGGCAAGGTCGAAATACTTACCTGTCTTTTGGCTTTCTTTCAGGTTTATTCTGTGAATCACAGAATAAACCTGGAAAAGAAAAGCCTTCCACATTCACCCTCTCCAACGGATCCCGGGCATTACATGGCCTGACCACGTGCCCAAAAAATACATCCTGGCACAGGCGGGCGTACCAGGCATGTTTGCCTTGCTCACTCAGAGGCGCCATGTCAGCTGCATCGAAGATGGTCGCATTCCAAATGATATACTCTACGGCGAATTGGTTACTGGCTTCAGACGTGCAGGAAAGCCACTCCTTCACTACAAGGATGGGTGTAAACGCGACATGAAGGCAGGGGGTATCCATCCAGCTGGTTTGGAAGCCGTTGCTGGTGATCTGGGTATATGAAGGGATGCCGTCGGGAAAAGTACGCAGCTGGGCGAGAGGCTGAGAGAGGATCAATGGGAGGCGAAGATATAAATCTCATTGTCCCTCAGAACAGGAGGAGGACGATGAATGATGATGACACCGGAACAGTGAAATCCACCATCCGGCATGTTTTCTTCTTTTTTCGGTTTTCTTCTGGCTAGGAGTTTGTTGTAGCGTTATAAAGCTTAATTATCTACTCTTGACTCAGTTTTGATTTATGCTTGTGTCAAAGGGTAAGATACGCGCCACTTGAAAATCTGGGAAGCGATGCGCAATGTAAGTTGCCTCGCTTGTTTGAGTCAATTTATTAAAGTAACATAACATCTCTGACGCCATGTACGGCCAATACAAGTATCAAGTAAGACCTTAATTCACTTTAATTTCCACATTTGCTAATGTGTATCTGTTTCGCTACATGAACAAACTATTGTCGGATTCAATATCTGTATATATGTAAATAAAATGTTTTCTCTCAAATTGCTTGTATGTTTTCACTCGTGAAAAAACTGTTATCAAATCACTAGTATGGTAAATGAAAACGAAAAACTTGGTTTCTTTCGGTTCTGGGGAATCAAAAACAGGATTCTTAACAGAATCATACCAAGTATGCCTACTATTATTAATATTCCTGGGGTTATTTTATTTTTATCGGACAAGGCTAAGCACTTTGCCATAAAATTTACTTCACACACTTCGCTAAGTGACCAGGGTTCTCAGAGTGCAAGCTTTGTGATCTTAGTATCTTGGCTTGGAAAGTTCCCAGACTCTTTAAAATTCTTGACTCTGTGAAGACCGCTGGTCCGAATAAAGTCCCCTGTGGTTTTACTTAAGAGCCTTAGCTCTGAATTATTTCCAGTCTTGGCAAAGTTGTTTAACCGATGCCTGAAAGAGAAATGTTCCTCAAGTCAGTGGAAGTTATCAACTATGTTTTCAAGAATTCTGGTGAACGCTCATTCCCGTTGTATTGTCACCCCATCAGCCTCTTTTGAATCATTAGAAAACTCTGATTCTATTACCAACAAGTATGTAATTGATCACATCGTTAGAAACAACCTCTTGTGCGACAAACAGTATGAGTTTCGTTCCCCTATGTCCACTGCTGAACTTATGACTGTCTTTAAATAAAGAATCGGTGCAGCGCTCGATGGCAGATTCGTCACTGGAGCAATTATGTTAGAAAACTCAAAGGTCATTGAAAGGTATATTATATACGCGACGCCAGCATCAGTCAACAATGTTTCTTAGTTCTTGGGTCTTTGTGGTGTACCATTTTCTTCACACTTTGTAACGAATTTCATGCTGGTGCTGACGTTGCCATTAAACGTGTCACAGACAGATTTGTTTATCTGGGCATGAAATCAGATATTCAGACATGCGTTCACTAAAGCTAAAGTTGGAAGACACACTCAATTACCTCCTGGTTATTACTTGTCACCTGATAATCTGTTTACCCAAGTGCACATCGAGATTACTGGATCTCTGTGTGAAGGATACACCTATTTGCTGTCTTATATTGATCGTTTTTCTCGGGTGTGCGAACATTCCCTGTGGTGGACGTTTCCGCCATCTAATCGGTCCTGATCTGGCATCTCCGCTTCAGTCACTTTCCCACTACTGTGATATGGCTTCCCTCTGTCTTTTCTAGAAATATTTTCATGGTAGTTATTCTGATGAGCTTCCTCTACCCAGGTACCACAACGGTATGAATTTAAGCGTACTACAACAGGGTCCCCCCTCTGAAAGATTGAATGAAGTAAAAGAACAACAACTTTTACAAACGCATGGGTACCTTGGGATAGTAATGCTTGGACCATTTGAATCTTATATGGAAACATTTTTAAATCCAGTTCCAGAATCTTCTGAAGCGATGTTCTAGCGATGCTTCGTTGAGCAGAGCGACGTGGGTAGAAGTTGTTGGATCCTCAAGGGCTCTTTGCCATACACCACCGCTGATCAGTGCTCACAGTGCACTTAGGATCTCTTTCCAGAAGATCGCCGACTGATCCAGTTCTTTCAAACCGCCTGTGGAACATTTTTCTTTTTTCTTTTTTTTCTTTTCTTCTTCTCTGTCGCCTAAAACCATCAAAAAAATTTAAATGCAACGCCAATCACCATTTTCTGTCCTCTTAAATCCTGTTCTTTTATTGCCATTTCTATTCATTAAAGTGTTCTCATTCTTTTTTCATTCCCAGTAACCCCTGGCGTCTTAATGACATTATTGCCTTACGTGGGGCGAAATGATTTAAAAATACTACGGCAATAGTTTTATTTCTGGATTAATTTAATATTTTTGTGTCTGTTATGGTAATTACCCATGGACTCTCCCAGCTATAAATAGGAGCAGGTACTGCCTTTTGGAGAGGGAAGTTTCCACAGTCAGCTCTGACAGTCGGAACGAACATTCTTGCTGTAACATTATCGTTTTATATGTTTGTGTTACTGTTTCTGTTAATATATTTGTTTAACTCAATTCCTCTCTTTGTGTCTTTATTTATGACCCTAACAAGGCCATAAACAGTGTCCGAGCTGTTTTTACCAGTCGGCAATTTGAATCTGATTTAATGAATCTTTTATGTAGTAAAAAAAACCAAAACAAAACAACATAACTGCCTTACATTCTGAAGCAACTGAATGGCATGGTGGAACTGTTCCATTGTCCTTTGAAATCAACCGTAAGAGCAATGCTGAACCAGAGCCTCTTCTTTTAGTCATTCTGTGATTTCGCATGGCAGTAAAGGATGACATTTAATGTGCATCTGTCGACATCATACTCAAACGTTTCGAACAATGTTTTGAACCTAGAGAAAGTCACGGACCCTATTTTCTTCGTCGATCATGTCAGCCTGAAAGACGAACTTGGCATACAACTCACCAGTCAGTATCTGTCTATATTTCTGACATGAGGTATTATGTACACTATTTACATTATTCGGACTATTGTCCTCATTTCTGTCGCCATATTTATTGCAACGTTTCTTTCGTTGTACGCTCCGGTCTTCTTCAGGTGGTTGGAAAGTCGAACTGAACCCTTTATTTCACTCACTTGGGTAGACTGTTCTAGTTCCACGTGCCATGTCTAATGGATGTCAGTTATCAGCTATCTCCTGTTAATTCCCCTCTCCAAGTTCTCCACCCCCTTAACCAGATATTGAACTCACACTCTTTGGGTCCTGTCATTGGATCTAACTAATTCCTTTATCCACTGTGCCATGTGTCCTTGGGGAACTAGAACAGTCTACCCCAGTTAGCGAAATAAAGGGTTCAGTTCGACATTCCAACTACCTAAACGGCCGAAATGTTGTAATAAATATGGCGACAAAGATGAGGACAATAGTCCATATAATGTAAATAGTGAACTCACCAGTCATATCTACTTTTGTATTCGTAAATTTATTTCTCTTCTAAAGTTTTTTTTAATATTTTAATGCCATGATCATTCCAAACAGTTATGGATCTCCACAACTACCTTTTCTTTAATCTGTACGAATTATCATAACTTCTTGATTTCCTGTTCCCTTCTCTACGGTTTTTGAATGTAAAGTTGTCCTTCTCAGTTGGCTGTTACCCAAATCAAGAAAGCCCAATATAATCTGTTTAACTCAAATCTGGAGGGAAAAGAGGGGCATTTGCACAGGAGGTGAACGCAACAGGCCATTCCGAAACTTGTGTTCGTCTCTCTGATTTCAATTTCTCGCCGATAACCGAAATGATACGAAGTGTAGTCGCGTAGTCGACAAATGGAGTGAATATCAGTTTGAAGATGTAATAGTATTAAACTGTATGAATTCTTCAGATAAAGCATTGGGATAATTAATTTTTCTATTAGTTTTTATTTTATGTTATTTTTGCCGTTCTGTTTCAATCGCCCGAGGGAGCATGGCTGATGCTAACCTCCAGTAGAAGGACTTGTTGCACTTTTTGGACGAACGTTTTCCGCTGACATGAAACAGAAAGATTATATTGGTCCACTGAGTATATATAAAAAGTTACTTCAATATCACTACCGTCCGCGACTAAGAGATTCACGCCAGTGACATTAAAGTACTCTTTTTCATATTTTTATGTTTGCTCTATTTTTGTATTTTTTATACCTTACATTGACCACTGTACCTGCTGTGTCTACAAATTCTGCTTATATATATATATATATATATATATATATATATATATATATATATATATATATATACAGTATTTACATTAGTCGGATTATTGTCCTCATCTTTGTCGCCATATTTGTCACAACGTTTTTCGGCCGTTATACTCTCCGGCCTTCTTCAGGTGGTTGGAATTTCGAACTGAACCCTTTATTTCGATCACTGGGGTAGACTGTTCTAGTTCCACGTGCCATGTTTGATGGATGTCAGTTATCAGTTATCTCCTGCTAATTTTCCCTCTGAAAGTTCACCACTGCCTTAACCGGGTATTGAACTCACACACTTTGGGTCCTGTAACTGGATCTAACCAACGCCTTTATCCACTGTGCCATGTGTCCTTGAAATGTGTTCGAAATTCCAACCACCTGAAGAAGTCCGGAGCGTACAACGGCCGAAACGTTGTGACAAATATGGCGACAAAGATGAGGATAATAGTCCGACTAATGTAAATACTGTACATAATACCTCATCTCAGAAATATAGACAGACTCTGATATATATATATATATATATATATATATATATATATATATGTGTGTGTGTGTGTGTGTGTGTGTGTGTGTAAATTTTTCCGACATAACTAAAAGATCAATATGAATAAAGAAAAAAGGAAAAAATATCCTAGGCGACGCTTTTCGTTATATGACGGACTTTATTAAGGCAAATGTAAGAATTTTATTATGAAGCAAGTATTTAAAAATTAATTTAAAAGCGTTATTTTTTTAAAATATTTTAAATTTAAGAAAAGCTCAAAAATATTTATCAGGCTATCTGAAAAGTCTTTCTTTGTAGTTATAGTTTGTTGGTGAATAGCAGACGATGGTCGTTATAGGGTTGCCGTTGAAGCTGGGTTCAATTTTTTCAACGTTCATGAGCGCTTTATGGGCTAGTGGACTGAGTAACATGCCAACACCACCAATGGTAGTACCTGTAGAATTTTAACAAGCCGAAGAAGTTTTGTCTGGTAACCCCGTATCTGATTTTTTGG